ATCTCCTCCCCCACAAAACATCAGATAATCTACACCGGGAAAAAAAATCGAACTGCCTACGCTAAATTACCTGATTTTGTTTTTATTTGATAACTTTTAGCCTATTGGCATTAATGTATTACTACTAAACCCAATATACTGCATTTCGCCGGGGATTAAGGCATTAAAGTAAATTTATTGTCTCAGTTGAAATATACCTATCGGTGCTCAGTGTGTTATCCAGACTTAATCTCCGGATGGGGGGGGGGGGGGGGGGAGGAGGGGTACACTTGAAATTTTCGATGGAGGGGGGGAGAGGGGGGAATATTTCCAGGAGGGGGGCGGGCAATGTTAAAAGTAAGAGATGCCTGGAAGACACTCTTAAAGCTTAAGCGATTGATTCTTTCTTATTCATGTGTTGTAATAAAACATTACCTTAAATATAATCCCTATAGTTTATGTATCAAGCCTAAATGGTGGTCAAATTAAAACAAATGCATGACACACAACGATACTGCCTAAGTTAGAAATTATCAATATTTTCTACGTTTTTTTTAACTTGTAATCCAATTTATTAATTGTAATACACGTTAAAATATGCAGTATGTCATGACAGTTTTGTGCTGTACATAAAGACAGTTGTTTCCCTTTGCTATTGATGCTGAGGTTGATTTCGGGTCGCCACTGAAAGAAGGGTATTTTTCAGGGATGAGGGAGGGGGCGGACGTAAAGGGAGGAAAAACTGTGTGTGGTCAGTGATGCTATCTAATCATTCGCGGCGCTGGACAACATCGCCATATATACAGAGCTGGACGCTGGACATAGCCTGAGAGAGATAGCCTGAGGGTTCGTGGGTGGAGGACTTTAAGACAAGTGGGGGAGGGGGGGGGGGGGGTAGGACCTACAGGTGGAGGACTTTAAGACAGGTGGGGGAGGGGGGTAGGACCTACAAGTGGAGGACTTTAAGACAGGTGTGGGGGAGGGGGGTAGGACCTTCAGGTGGAGGACTTTAAGACAGGTGAGGGGGGACGGGGGGTAGGACCTACTGGTGGAGGACTGACTGTAAAACCAGATGTGGACGGACTAGTAAGAGATTGCTCTGGCAAACGTCCCATCTCAGAGCCCAGGTAGATCACCATATTGATAGACCCGATAGATTACCACTTTGATGGATCTGGTATATTAGCACTCAAATGACCCCAGTAGATCACTACCTTGATGGCCCTGGTATGGCATCACCTTGATGGCCCTGGTATATCACCACCTGATGTCCCCAGTACATCACCACTTTGATGGTCCGGTACGGCCCAAACCTTTGACGGCGTGCATCAGAGCCCCAATCAAGCGCCAGTTTCCGACGAGCCAGGTGGGTACGCTCTTTAAATGTCTTGTTGGGGATTAGCTAATGGTCTCTAACCATTTATCAAGTGGATAAGGTTGCACGGGCAGGGGAGTTAATGTCAGCATAAACATTGGCGGAGTGACTGTTCTTGGGCTGGAAATCGTGGAAACAGACCGGATAACTCTTATGGAAATAAGGGTAACAAACGAAATATTTTTATTAATTTTTATTTTTGTCAAACTTTAATATTTAAACAATACTGAGGTTAAAGAGTCAGCTCCCTTATACATTTGACTGTTTATATATAGGACCTTTATTTTTTGCTAATTAACGCGATTTATTATCAGCAAGAGGCTTCTTTCTTCTTCTTCTTCTTCGTTCTTAATTTTTAGTGTTGAAGGGGATCGAGATTTATCTGCCAGTGGGTTTGAACTCGAGACTTTGTTCGAATTTATCAACCATGAGCTTTTTGCCGACTCGACCACGCTTCCAACACAATTAAGCGTTACGTGTCAACTGGTTATGCGCCATTGAGGCCATTGACTCCGATTTCAGCCTGCTTTTCTTTTTGGATTTGCTTTGTCCAACCAAGAACAAACTGGCTTAATATTAACGTAGTTATAGGTTAAAATGTGGAGCTTTGAAATGTATGACGAACTTTGCTGAACCAAATGTGGAAGCTACTTGTTGCCTAGGTAACGTCCAGGTCATAGTGACCGTGGAGGTTTTTGACAGGTGTAAGGGGCACACAGGTAACGAGCCCATGTTGGGGGGGGGGGCTGTCAACTAAGGTTTATGACCTACCTGGGGCCCGCAAATCAAGGCCGAACCACTGACCAACGTCCACAAACAATGACGCAGGACAGCGTACCAAGACACGTGACATTGTGTGTACTCGAGCATGCAGGTGTGTAGCTTCGAGTACCTGTCAGTGTGGGGGTTGTGTGTCGTACAATCACAGGTGTGTGGAGCCTAATACTGTCAGTGTGGGGGTTGTGTGTCATATACAATCACAGGTGTGTGGAGCCTAATAATGTCAGTGTGGGGGTTGTGTGTCATATACAATCACAGGTGTGTGGCGTCTAATACCTGTAGTGTGGGGATTGTGTGTCATATACAATCACAGGTGTGTCATACAATCACAGGTATGTGGCGTCTAATAATGTCAGTGTGGGGTTGTGTGTCACGCGCAATTTTGAATACATTATTGTATAGTACACATATATGGCGGCAGTACTAGTACAAAATAATATGATATAGGCATTTGAGTAGACCTAATAGTATATGATGGTATAGAACCAGTACATGATGGTATTGGTATATTACTAATGCTGCTTGCTAAAATAACGACATGAAAGAATTAATATATAGTGGCAGCACGGTACAATTCTATAATGTGCGACTCAAAAAATCGTCAGTACAACTCACCTATATATTGGCTCGTAACATTTCTAATGTTTAGCTAACATGTGGAGGTATTGAGAAAGCATCACTAATACACATACAATGGAATAATTCAAACTTTTGGTGGCGTAAGCAGAAGGGGTGGGGGTGGTGTTAGAACACCCTATGGACACACACAATGAAATGTTTCTAACTTTAACTACAGCTATTGGTGATCATGCGCTCGTGTTGCTTAATGTTTATTATTTGTTTTACAATGTATTTAATATTACTATTTGACCCCCCCCCCATGACAAATTTCAATGGCAACAAAGGATGGTTTATGCTGGAATATATATACATAGTAATAGCAACTGTTTGAGTAAAATGGCGTTTAACAATATAATGTCAAAATACCCATGGTATTGATAAGGTATATAATTAGTTACTGGTGTATGAATGGTCTGTAAGAGCCGGTACCTAACTTGAACAACCTTTGGTTTTGACGTTCTGAATGAAAAGTTGCCATTGACGGAGCCCATTACAGCACAAGGAGCCCATTTGTTTTATCGGACGGCCAAATTTAATCTAGTCGTCAGGCGAACGTCAAGACCCGAGCACAAAGGCTCACCACCGCCACGGTAAGCAAGGGTCGCCATAAAACGCCGGGCTTCTAGCTAGTACAAGTGGTCATAAACAGGCGGTCGTGAAATCTTCACATCAAAGCCTCCCCCCTCCTCCCCCCTCTCACAATACATAGGACACAGTGGAGCACTAGCGTTACGGACCTTTCATAAAACTCACTTCAAAGGATCCAGTATTGTTAACCACGAACGTACACCCATGACCAGTGTCCACTGCACAAGGTAGATAGAGGGCCCTTATCAAAAGTTAGTGACCGAACGAGGGGGGTCTTAGTGCCTGGATTAGGATAAGGGCCTCTTGCGTGACAAGCTAGGCCGTGATAATCCCTAGGAATATTTTAAGCCAGTCGAGAACTTGATCAGCTTTCATTTGGTTTAAGGGACGGGCGTGGTGGGGAAGTGTGGAGTGGGTGAGGGGGGTGGGAGGGTTTAGCATGTACTAACAAGAGAAATTGTGTGTGTAGCGAAATTGATCAGGCTACAAAATGCGTGTCATACGGACATGCCAAGTAAAAGCTATTGAAAGAGAGACAAGTCTTGTCATAAGAATATTGTGTTGGGAGATGTAAGAAATGTAGCGAGGGGTTGTAATGTGAGAAACCAATGTTTTATTTACCTGGGGAGGTGTGAAAAATAGAGAGCAGCTTGCGAGGGGTGAGAGGTGTGGCAAAAGGTGTATGGGATACCTGAAGGTTCAGACAAAAGACAGGGGAAAGAGGTGGAGAAACAGGTGAGGCTGAGTTTAAAGAAATATTTATCAAGGGGTCAAAGCGTAAACAACAATAGTTTCTTGATGAGGGGAGGGGTGGTCAGAAAATGGCGACCGGTGGGTGGGGGGCTGGATTACATTACAGGGTGATTACTCGTTTGTTTTAAGTTTTATAGTAATTTCATAATTTTTTTTTCAGAACAAAATCTCAGATATAAAGACAACTCGTGGCCTCTCTAACTATTTTAATTATATAAAAAATGGTACAGTAGGTATCCCAGGGTTCGTTGCGGGTGGGCTGACCTACATTCTAGCTCATCAAGTTAATCACCTTAAGTTTAGTCACTCGCGGGGGTAAGTGATTGTTAATGAGGGACGATTCACGCGCTACTGAGGCGCTCACACAGTGAAGCTCTTTGTTGTAAGGGCTGCCGGGCACACAGGGGGAACCTTAGCCATTGCAGCTGGATGTAGGCTTACTAGTCAACGACTAGTGCTAGTCAGAGACTTGAGTGTGTGGCTAGTGCTAGTCAGAGACTAGAGTTTGTGGGATAGTCAGAGGCTAGTCGAGGTAGTGCTAGTCAAAAGCTAGAGTGTGACTAGTACAATAATCAATACATTAATCAATACATTAAAAACGCATATATGTAGCATGTCAATAGTAGTTTCTGCTACCACTAGGCGCGTGTTCTAGACTTACAAACTAGCCACACCAGATTACAAATCTGGTCTCTAGACTCCACTTAGCCTAGCCCACCACTTATTGAATGGAAGGAGAAATGGATCTATAAACTACAGCTCCATAGTAGTTTCAGGAGAAAAAAAACAACTTAAAAATTGCATTTTAAAGAAATAGCTTTTGCATAATTCTAAGATAGAAGCGGAAAAATATAACTGAAATTAGAATTAGAAATTAGAGTACTAATTTTGAATAGTTACTTACCGCCGGAGTGTTGCATCATGGTAAATATCCACGTGATAGCTGATAATATCGACCTGTGGATGGAGACCAGAGGAAAAGTTGACGGAGTTGTTGATACACAGGATTAGATTATTGCGTGGGAGTGGGAGTGGTAACAAATGATACGATTATTGTGTGGGAGTGGGGTGTGCGGGTAGCAACAAATGATTAGATTATTGCGTGGGAGTGGGGTGTGTGGGTGGCAACAAATGATAAGATTGTATCACTAGGGCCATGGCTGTGGGGGCGGTAATGTATTATAATCCTCAAATTAACGGATACATCGGGAGAGATGTTTGGATCAAATATTTACAGGTTGATATGTCAAGGTGCCACAGATCTGACATCAGGTCACCTGGCTTTGTTTTGGGTAATGATCGGTTAGCCGTACCACGTCATGTATCTTTGGCATCTAGAGAGCGGTAACACTAACCTTACGGTACGGCTAAACCAATGTTGTTTAGTGTGCAGGGAGTGATTGTAAAAGGTCGGTCCAGGCTTAACCCAACATTATGAAACAATATAACGACTGGTGTGGCCTAGCGGTAGAGCGATAGACTAGTTCAGATACAAGGGTCGAGTCTGTAGGTAACCAGATCTGATGGGTACCTGGCTCACGTTAGTGAAATACAGGCGGCTGGGCATTGTGCTGACCACACTATCCCATAGTAAGCAGAGGTCAATGAAACAGATAAACTCTAATACATCTGCCCAATGTGTGTTGGGTATGAACAGATGATGATGACTGACTGTGGCCCTCTGTACCTAAGTTAGCCATTGTGTTAGAGATAATCAGCCACGTTTTTAGACACAAAGCCATACCGATTCCAGATGTGTAATAATACCGACAACATCCAGTCCATGTCAATAAATTGTACTTGTATCAGCTAACATAAATCCGACGATGTGATTGATATTTGTCATATTGTTAAAATGTATTCTGCAGTAATATGCAAGACGGTGATTTTCAAGAACCAAATAAGGCAGTCATATTCAGCTGTCACGTGCAATCACATTTTTCAGTATGTAAGATCAGTCATATTTGAAGTTATCAATCAGTCATTTTTTAAATCCCATAGACCTCTTAAATAAAATAGACTGGGAGACTAAAAATTATTCAGTAAACACTAGCATCGGAAATCTCCGGACTATACCAAGTTATTTGTTGTGTAAATACCAACCCACCTGAATCTCGAACCCGCTGCTTCATAACTTATAGTGGAAGCCTGTAACATTATATGTAAGCCTACAGATTCCTTATCATAACTTATCGTGGTCATTTCAACATAATTTACCCGTACCCTTTAGCATTACGTGTCATGGTCCTTTGACAATTATGAATGAGACCCTAAACATACCAGGATATCACAACGTCAAAAATATTCAACAACAAAAACCATATAACCTGATTTTTTTTTCTACTTCACACAGCTGTTGCTTACTGTAGGCGTTTTAAAAACATTTCACGGCAGGATGTACCAAATAGTTATTCATTCGCATAATCGATTTAAACAACAACAACATGAATCGCGCGATAAGGGAAGTAAAAGCTAGCTTTAAAAAAAAAATTCCGCGGTTCTATTAGAAATAAGAAAACGGATGAAGTGGCACGTTTCTGTTTTAATTTAAAGAAACAATAAAGCCCTCTTCACATGCACCTTTGATACCAATGTGAGGCGTGAAGAGCCCTTGATGTGCTTGCAAAACAAAGCGGTGGAGCGAGATCGAGAATCGATGTGTTGGGATTATGGCGACATATGTTTAATAAATCAGGCGGGGAGGAGGGGGAGTTGGGGCAGTCGTGGGCTGTCAGATAAACATTGGTCTATCTCGTCATCCACGGGGGTGGCGGGGGGGGGGAGTAAACACCTGCAGTAACTTAGGTGATACCTGTAGGTAGCTGGTGTGTGGGTTATTGTATACATCTACTGCGCATAATGAGATGTCATTTACAGCTTGCAAAATATAATGACATGTCATATAGCGCGAGTATGACATGACATTTAACCAAGTGTATGTTGTAAAGTTGAAATGACACACGAGTGTAAAACATGTCATTTCGTTAATAATTTAAGTCACAATATAAACCAGTGAGTACTTTACGCAACACAATAACTTATAAAACATTTGGTCAATGTCGGTATGTGTTCATCCTTTAATGAAAGTTTGGTCATTTCACGTAAAACTAAATCATTCATCAAGTCAATGTGGTTTTAAGTGAGTCATTCAACAAAACATTTGATCATTTCACGAAATGCCAAATAATTTCACAAAACAATGAGTAATTTCCTAAATCCTATATTCAGTACGTACAACTCAATTATAATGCCAATACCCCCCCCCTACCAATGGAATGGTGGCGTTACAGTTTTGGGTGCTTTAAAATTTTCTCCAACAACATCCCAAGTTAATAAACGGGGTGGTTATAATTCAACTCATAAAAACAAAAACAAAACTTGAGACATATAAATTTTAAAAAATCAAATGACAATGAGACTGAGATTTTGAAAGGTAACTTGTTATGAAAAGATATTTGATCTAAACTTTCGGTATAAGGTAAGGAACAGCTTACAATCCAAATTTACATGTACCATAAAATGAAAAATTTAAAAACACACACATAACGAAAGTAGGCCTACATAATGAAGTAAACTAGCAATGAGATCAAAATAATACAAATCCGACCGAGTTACAAGATTTCTGCACCTCTAATCCTGATGAGTATAGTGTGTGTGGGTTTGTGGATGTGTGTGTGTGAGTAGATCGTGTAGTGTAGTACTTTTAAGCAACGATGTACATGGAAGATCTAAAGGGCGTTAGGGTCCACCTTTAAAAAATGTGTACTTTAATCAAGCAGAAAACCACAAATGTCCCCCGGCCGATCGGTCAATGTCCCTGCATGCACCACTCAATCACATACTCCAGTCAACTTGGTATGTGACCCTCCCGGTTCAGCTGTTTCAAACACCAACGTTACGCGGTGTAAAGTAAACCCTTATCCTAAACCAAGCCTTAACGGCAATTCAGTAGCGTAGGGGGGGGGGGGGGGGGGGAGACGACGACATATGGGGGGTGGGGTGCAAATCGAAAAGTTTTTTCCCAGGGCGCCGGGAAGGGTCGCTACGCCTCTACGACAACTTGATATCTAAACCCTACACCAAGCCATAACGGCAACTTGATATCTAAACCTGATTAATAGTTTAATTAAAAGAAAAGTAAAACAAGATACACCCCGGCGAGTTTAGGTGTTATTGTTTGATGTAATCGCATTAACGCGGGGGATGTATCGACTACAGTATTACTGGGATGTATCGAGTATGGTATTACGAATCGATATATCTCCATTAAGAAAATGTAAAGCACCCCCGCAGAAGTGGTAATTAAAAGAGAAAAAATGCGACAACTGCGCGTATGTACAGGAAATCGAAAAAGTATTTTAAAATTTAAAACAAACTTCAGCTTTCTTTTAACATGTGTTGTAACGATATGGGTCTAGCCATTATGATTATAGGATCAGATGGTAATCCGGCATTTAAATTTACTTTGGGTTTCATTAAGAATATGATTAATAGGCTGGGGAAAAAAACGTAACTTTTTTTTGTTAAGTTTGTGAAGAGGGGATGTTGGGTTTAAATTGAGAACATATTTAGTTAAATATGCTCTTGTTGAAAAGCAGACATTAGCAGTATTAGACCAGTTAGAAACAGGTAATACCTAGCTCTTACAAACAGGTAATTTACGTCTGATAAACTAGCTATTTAAATCTTACACCGTGTTTACACTTGCGACATGTATACTATACAAGTCTAGAAAAAAAAATCGCAACAAAGTTGATGTAAGATGATAAAAAAAAAATTTCCCGCGAAACATGTGTACTTACTTGTTCCAAGTTTTTGTTTCTTTTTAGATATGTATGGTATACATGTCGCAAGTGTAAACGTGGTGTTAAAAACAGTGAAATCTACCTCTTGTGAGCATGTAATCTACGTCTTTAAGCAGGGCAATTTGAGTCTTAGATAAGACAATCTACTTCTGAGAAACAGGCAATTTATCTTTTTAGAAACAGACAATCTACTTTTGAAAAACAGGCTATTTTCCTTTTAAAAACAGGTAAAATCTACCAAATCGACTAATTAGACAGCTTAAAGAATAAGCTGATGACAATTGAAACAGGTCGCTATCAGTGTACCACCAATAACCACCCCGTCCTCCCCAACACACACCATTTTTTATTAAAATTTTAGAATTTCATAACAATTTTCTGGTTGAAAGTGAAAGTTAATCATCCTAATCACCAATAAACAATTAACTATATATCAATATATTACATTTAAACCTAGCATATTTCATTTTAATACACTTACTATCTCGCACTAACCCATCGAACCACTAGGTTAGATGCAACCGTAAATTGTAAATTCATTAATACATAAACGTAAACGGTTGTTTTTCTGCCGATTTCTTTGAGAGCTAATGGGCCCCGGGTTAGGACAGCCCTACCAGAAGAAAACACTCGGCGATTATACAAGTTGGCCAACCCTCCAACAATAAAAATAACATCGAGGGCTTTATTTAAAAAAAAAGCCGAGGGCACCTATAATGAAATTCGACAAATAATATATCGCAGTGATTATTTTTCTGTCGGTGTTGAAGTAAGGGTCGAGTTTAGGACCTTCATAATAACAAGCTTTTAAATGCATTGAAAGTTTAGAACATAGAACTCATTTTCTCTCTCTACCAAAAGCTTTAGGTCGCTCTTGAGATATTTTACATAGATCTAATTATTTTAGCGACCAAAGCTTTTACTAAATAGAGCAAATCGGTTATATTTTCCAATATACAACGCATTAAAAGCTTGTTAATATAGGCCCTACAGATTTTAAATTTTATATTGTCATAAATATAGTTTTAATTATTTAATATAGATCTCAGCCTAATACATTGGTCAAATGTAACAAAATATCAGTAGTGTAGCTTCTTAATTGTATACTAGATCTATACAAATAAGAAGCTAGACTACTGATAAAATAATAAATATATCTAATAACAGTAAAAAATGAATACACATCAGTAACTTTAATCTTGACTAGATCTACTCGTTTTATGATATAATAGATCTATATAGATCTAGTAATAGAATCTAGATCTAGATAAATCTAGATGTAGTACTCTTCGATGTACATATTAAATATTAAATTATTAGTTAATAATTAGTAAATTAATTAGTAATTAGATTCTATAGGCTGTCTAGTTTTAATAGTTTATTTATTTTGATCAGACTTAAATACTCACCAGAAAAGTCGCAAGTAATCCATCATCATATGAGCCGCTACATGACAGGAGATTTTATTTTCTCATCAAGTCATTTGATTCCATCAAGTAATTCGAGACATTACGAGAGACAATCAAAACAACAGTTTGACCCGGTGTTGACACAAACAATTGCTAGGCCGGGTGGGAGTAAAAATTTTTAATCAACGGCCACAGCTGCACACGATGTTAACAAACAAATCTACAATAGTAATAGATTTACCACGGCCAGTGTTAACAATATTCCAATGAATAAACTGTTACGGTTAACCTTGAAGTTAACAAGCAATGACTAGACTGGACACTAGACTATATCTAAATCTGATGTTACCAATCACCTGTTCAATGCGATGTTAAGAATCAACCGCAAGACTAAGTTTTAACCACCGCGTACGGGTCGGCGAACAGCACACGGCGAAGGTAAGACTAGTAGTAGTCGTACACATCCGATCCACTGTTTTGGTCAGTCGAGGCCGCAAAGCGAGAGGTCACTACCAATCTTGACGCGCTGTTTGTTTTACTACCGCCTTCCTCGCTCGGCGTGTTCTAGATTCTTCTACCTAACCTCCCAAACACACAGATTTATACTAGTATCTAGATCAATACACAACAATTTGTCATAGAAAAATCACAATGGAAATACAGCGTGGAAATTTTTTTTGCGAAAATAAATCGAACACAGTCAACAATTCCCACACGTGTGTAGCTAGGATGACATTGACTAGCCTAGATTTATTTTGTGCCGCGAGATTTGATTGGTCGCCCGTGTACGAGTTCCCCCGCGGGCCCAATCGCCTGCGGCGTTTGTTGTGAAGTGACGGGCGGAATGCAAACATAGGCAGGCGCGGGGTGGAGTTTGGTAAAGTGTGTTTGCCGCGAAGATTTTGGTTGGATTTAACCGGCTGGTAAACAAATATAGTGGAGATTAAATTAACCTTTTAATACATTTGTGATGGGGAGGGGGGGGGGGGGTGTAACACGACTTAATTGCAGCGTTTCAGCTGAGCTAACCTGACGATTTGAGCGTCGTTACAGACGATAAACCATAACTGGAATATTGTATGGATAACCGAAGCAGATCGAAATGTATTTCTTATTTTTATAATTGTAATCTATTTATGTAGCGAGTATCAATAACGTCACTAATTGGGGGGGGGGGGATGGAGGTGCGGGCCGCACCTGGTCGCATAATCGAAAGGGGTGACACCAAAACAAAATATGGATAATTTTTTTTATGAGAAATCAGATTTTCCAAGTTTGTTTAATAGATTTTTTTTTTTAAAAGTTACATACATCGTTATCTACAAAATGATATTCTCCAGCAAAGGGTGACACCAAATGGCCTAGATCTAGAGTTTTAATATATCATACAGATGGCGGAGGGGAAGGGGGTTGATTCCTGAGTTATCGCATTGGTAGTCTCCCGTCCTAGTGACGCCACTGGCGAGTTTGACTAATGTTTTTTATTAACACAGAGAAGTTGCCCGCTACATCAACGAGTCAAATAAGAAGCTAGCCAATAATGACATATTTTCGTATTATTTATCAAAACACATATAGGCCTACGTAATTAAACATATATTTGAAGCTAAAATAACTTAAAATAGTGAAAGTTCAGTATGGTGAGTTTAAGGTTAAGTTATCGATAACATTTGCTCCCTGCATTTGAATAAATTAACATCTTTGCCGCGGTGCTGTTTATTTTGGTGACACACACACACACACACACACACACACACACACACACACACACACCACCACCACCACCACCAAAGCACTGTCACCGCGTGGACAGTTTGTGAAATCTACGGGTCAGCGGTCAGCATCGGACAATGGAGGTGTGTAACCATTCTGTAGCCGTCACCCCACGGGTAGCGACAAACATTACGACACGTCCAGCACATGGGGGCCGGCGTCCACCCGGGCGTGACGGTGCTGGACCACCGAGGAGGATTTCTCACGCCAACACAAGGGCCAGGTACAAAACAGGTGGACTAATGGCTCCACGCATGACTGAACACAGGCCTTGGCGACGTGCCCGCCCCGCTGGTCGAATAGGTAAAAACATAATAGGGAACAGAATCAGTCCCGGCGTTTCGTTTTCAATAATTGAGCTGATTTCATCGACACATGGGATTGAACTCTCTTTATAAACTTTATTATTTAACTCTTATATACTTTAAAGTTTTGATAGAAAGTCGACCAGACAATGCTCGCTCGTGTTGAGATTTTCTTTTTTACAATTACAGTTTTACAATTACAGCATTGTGTTTTAGGGTTAGGATTAGGGGTGGGTCAGATCTATGGTAGAATGTCAGGCAAGATATCTTTCAAACATTTATTTCATGGGGGGGGGGGGGAAGGGGGAGGGAGCCCTTAATGCTTCCGAGGAGGGGGAGACATTGGTTAAAGTGTATATATATATATATATATATATATATATATATATATATATATATATATATATATATATATATATATATATATATATATATATATATATATATATATATATATATATATATATTCATTTAAGATGGTTTACTTAGACATAATGAAACGTCAAATTTCGATTTGATTTTTAAACCTAATAAACCGGTAAACCGGGAGTGATTTCCCCTAAACTTTCTCGAATATTCTTATATAACACTACGGGGGATGGCAACTCTGGATATAGACAATATTTTAAATCCATTTTTAATTACTTAAACTTTTTATAATAGAATAGAATCTCGTAGAAAAAAGAATTGCACACCAAGTGAACGTCAAACTAAATGTGCATAATAGTGTGCGATATTACTAGTACTTTATAAATTCACATGCGGGTTTTGAGAAATCGGAAATAGCGTAAATTACTACTTCCGGTCAACGGAAATTACTCAAAATTTGATAGAAGGCAGAGAATTATATTTTTTACTTATATGTGAAATTTCATTTATCTATCTGAAAAAGTACTCAAGTTATGGCTTTTGAAAAATTGAAAGTAGAAAAAGTTCCACTTCCGGTTATCGGAAATCGCTCAAAAGTTGATACAGATCTACAATTTTGATATAATACTGTTATATGAAATTTCATCAACCTAGCTGTAACGGTACTCAAGTTATCGTGTTTACAGACACACACACACAGAAACACACACACAGACATACGGACAAGATTGCAAAACTATGTTTTTCCGACTCAGGGAGCCCTAAAACGTCAAGATTTGCAAAAATCTCGATTTTTTTTTTGCACGATTACAAGACTTTCTCTATACTTCGTATATACGAGAAAGTAAAAACGACAAAATAGTTTTTTTAGTGGATTGGGTTGAGGGGGTATAAACTTATAACTAGAGCTGAGATAAATTTGGGATTAAAGAAAAATAATATTATACATATTATAAACAGCCTGATTAATGTGTTGAGTACATTGAGACACATAAAATCAAACATTCTTCCTTTTCAAATTTAAATAAGCGAACCTTTTTTTTTTAATTTTTTTTTCTAAGATTTTAATAAAATTTATTGTCAAAAGCTGCAATATGCATACATGAAAGAAAATAATAGTCTTGTTGAAGTAGTAAATTGTGAAAAATGTACTGCAAAAAAGATAAAACTGAGATCAATCGAACATGTTTAAATTTAAATAAAAAATTAATATATGTAAACAATAAAATATTTAGATCTTTATTGAACAGTGCTGATACGAATGACAAAAGAAATATGAAACTTGTATTTTATAATTAAAGGTAGGTAGCAGTTATCCCTTTATATTAATTCTTTGTAGAAGATTTAGTCTGACTCCTTGTGTTGTTCCTAGTCGTAGATAATGTTACAATAACATAATTGTATGAGTATCTACTTTTTTTCAATAAAAATGTCATTAGTTTTACTTTGGTGTAGCTAATCAATGAGTGCAGCTGTATGATAATATGATGAGCTTACTGCAACATAATTGGTATTTTTGGGCAAATCTACTAATCTTGGAATGTCTGAGCGGAATAAATATCTGTGCTTTTCTCCATCTTTATGGCCTAGGCGACCATCGCTTCCACATCCCCAAGTGTACACTTTACCAGTCAGTTTTGCAGCACAGGAGTGGATGCCCCCTGCAGCTATGGACACCACCTTCTCACCACTGAAATATTCTTGAGGTATGGCTGACGGGCTGTACAGTACATTATGATGGCCAAGTCCTAGTTTCCCTTTATATCCATCTCCCCAAGACAGGACTTTCCCCTCTTTAGTTAGAGCTAAAGTGTGGCCATGGTGATCTCCCTTGCTGCAACTGACACCAATAATATCTTCATCAGTTGAACATTTAGTTGGATAGAAAACATCATTCAGCAGAGATTTCCCAAGACCTAGAGCACCGTCGCGTCCTTTACCAACAGTAAACAATAAACCATCAGCTGTGACCAGCCCCAACACTTTTCACTGTCACTTCTGACAGCTTATTCACTTTTGTAGGTTGTAGAAAGTCTTTATCACCCATGACCTAGCACTCCACAATGTCCACTTCCCCAAGAAAACACTTGACCATCCACAGTCCAGGCATAGGTATAGTTATGTCCACAAGGCACACCAGCAATTATAAGTTCAGCTGTAAATGACACGAGGCGTGGCAGCCCTGACAAGGAACCATCAGATGTACTGGTACCAATAGCATTCCCAGCAGCTTTCTTATGGCCTCAGATGAAAATCTGACCAGATTCTGTCACAGCTGATGCATGCCAAGATCCACAGGACACCTGAAAAAATCTATTTATAGTTTTGTGCTATAAAAACCTTACTGCCTATTAAAAGTAAATGAATCTGAATTATGAAATAATAGGACTACTCCATATGAATTCAAACAGTGATGTATATTCCATTACTACTACATGCTAATGCTATGTAGCCTATACCTTCCAATGCTTACCTGATTAACTTTTCCTAACTTTCCGGCCAGGTTTACAGCAGTAAACATTAGCGTGTCCTCTTCTTTACTTTCAAGTCCAAGGCGACCAAATTTTCCACATCCACAAGTATATAAATTTCCATTTTTTGTTACAATAGCTGTAAACAGAGCACCACAGCTGATTTGATGAACTAAATGAAGAGGATGTTCAGCAAATGCTTTTGTTAAGAGCTGTGGTGTATGTGAAGTCTCAGCTTTTCCAGTACCAAGCTGGCCATTTTTACCAAGTCCCCAAGTGTAAACAGACATTGTCTATCATTCTATGTATGATTTATGCCATTTTATGCTAGTGGAAGGCTGAATTAATAATAATTAAATATAATAAGTTAGCCTACACATACTTGATCTAGCGATAGTATAGATCTAATTAATTATTAATTAGATCTAGAGTTGTCGAGTCTAGACTAATATTACTAATAAATAATATGCTCTTGGCCTTCCATGAGGCTTGATAATGACATTGATAATGATACAGCTAAAAATTCTAGGTCTTTATGATTTTGGATTATTAATAGTAGATTAGTACATATTCTTATTCTAAATATCTGTAATTAGGCCTAGGTCTTTTAAATATATAAATGTTGCAGGCCCTAAGAAACTTAAAATATTTCCATTCATGACTAAGCAAACTAAAGAGCCAATGTGGCACACCCGTAGATAAGAGAATCGAAGTAATGCTGGAACACAGAATAGAGTTAAAAAAACGCAAACAGGAGATATATTTCAGTTGTCTAAAAATAGCTGTCTATTATACGTAACGGTTTTTCCATTTTAATTATTTTAAAACATTTTTATAGTGATCATTTTAAGTATAAATTTAGACAATATTTATATTAGACACTATTTTTGTAAGCAAAAATAAGCCTGTCATAAAAACAATAAAAACAGTCTTTTTAACTAAACTTTATTAGTTTTGCTTGTTAACCAGTTTTAGGAATATAGTTATAGTTATTTCCCTTAATTGTTTTAATATCTTTTTAATAATTAATGGTTTAGCTATTCTGTAATTCGGAACACAAGGAAAGTAAAAACTTTAACAGTCAAACGAAAAACAAAACTTCCCACGATCGTGATGTACATGGAACAAATATGACATTTTCAGAACGAAACAAAATGCCACAAAATAATGATCTCACCAATACTCGATAGTAGGCTTCAAAAGTCTATGTAATCATAATAATTTTTTTTTTATCTTTAAAAAAGTATGTCAAGAGATACAATTATAGTTACATTTTTTTAAAAATTAAAGCCGTTAAGGAAGTATCAATTACACCCATTTTCATATTTTTACTTTCTCGTATATACGAAGTATAGAGAAAGTCTTGTAATCGTGCAAAAAAAAAATCGAGATTTTTACAAATCTCGACGTTTTACACCTCACTGATACGGAAAAACATAATTTTGCAATCTTGTCCGTATGTCTGTGTGTCTGTCTGTGTGTCTGTCTGTCTGTCTGTCCGTGTGTAAACACGATTACTTGAGTACCGTTACAGCTAGGTTGATGAAATTTCATATATAAGTATTTTATCAAAATCGTAGATCCGTATCAACTTTTGAGCGATTTCCGATAACCGGAAGTGGTACTTTTCCTACTTTGAATTTTTCAAAAGCCTATATCTTGAGTACTATTTCAGATAGATAAATGAAATTTCACATGTAAGTAAAAGATCTAATTCTCTACCTTCTGTTAAATTTTGAGTAATTTCCGTTGACTGGAAGTAGTACTTTGCGCTACTTCCGATTTCTCAAAAAACTAATGTAAATTTTAAAAGTACTAATAATATTGCGCACTATTATGCGCTTTTTTATTTGGCGTTCACTTGGTGTGCAATTAATTTGTCTACGAGATTTTATTCTATTTTTAAAACTTTAAGTATTTAAAATGGATTAAAAATCATGTCTATAGCCCGAGTTCCCATCCCCTGTTATTTTATATAAGAATATTCGAGAAAGTTTAGGGGAGATCACTCCCGGTTTATTTGTATTCACGATAAGCCAGCCAGGGAGAGTAAAACAATGAATGAAAGTCACAACAATTGTTTTCCATGATAAAATACACAATAGCGGTCAGTGTAGTAGTCAATTTATATTTAATAATACAACATCCCCTATCAGCACAACACCCTGACTCTACTAATCCAAATTAAATCGCCGAAGAACGTCTACCGTTCAATTTATGTAGAATAATATACTTTAACCAATGTCAGCCTCCCGTTATAAGCTAGGTTTCGTTACTGTTTCAATTGTCCGTTTCAGGATAAATTTACGTTTCCGTTTTGTTTGTTTTTTCGTTTCAAGTTACATGTCGTTTCCAACTAAATTTTAGGTTACACGTCCAGATTAAGTTAAAGTGCCGGTTCCGAATAAAGTTCCGTTTCAGTTAAATTTTGATTCCGGCTAAATTTTCAGATCCAGTAAAAGTGTTGATTTCGGATTAAGTCCCGTTTTCAATTAAATTTTGATTCCTGTTAAATGTATATTTGTATAAAAGTATTGGTTGCTATGTATTAAGTAATATATCTAATGACCAACGATTTATTAAAGAAAGCAAGTTTTTATTTTTATTTTTATATTTTCAGTGCATTTAAAAGCTTATTATTAGAAATATTTTCAATATTAATTTTTGTTGTATTTTTTACTTTTTAGTAATTTGTTTTAATAAAGCTGACACCAAAAAGGCTACGACTAAAAACTACTTGCGATAAAATACGATTAGTACTCTCTAATCTCTATAAGACAATTATGGGCCCTTTCTTTTTAGTTGGTCGACATTCGGGGCCGGGCTAAAAATCACTCAGCCGTGAAAAACACATTTCACTCTTGTAGATCAAGCTAATTAACATTATTTAATTAAAATATCCTTATTTCATTTTTTTTTAAAAATTAATGCTAGGTCAACTAAAGTGTGTGTTTTAGGCTGTCTATGATGAGTAAAATAATTTGATAAAAAACTAAATATCTGCTTCTAAGATATGTCTCAAAGGGAAAGAACAATGATAAAAAAATATTTACAAAGGTATGTAATTACCTTTCCTTTCTTAGTAAACTCAAAGCTACGAACCAACTCACCAGTCTTCTTATTGCAAAAACCGACTTAAGGTTTAGGTGATTATATCCAAAACAAATATCAAAATCGAATTATCTTTAAAGCTCCTCGAAATTTCATTATGAGGCTGGAATACGATTGGAAAATTATCAGCATAAACTAAAACAGAACTAGCTTAACAGGTAATAAAACTATTCTGCTTCTGTTATAATTGGGATTAGCATAGGATACGGAACTGGGGTAAAATATAGTTTTAATTTTAATTAAATGGTATGTGAATGCTGTTATAGTGTGTATAGGTTAGATAGATCATAATAGCTGCAATAGGAATAGTCCTTAGTGTGTTTGACTGTACGTCCCCCCACTAGGTACAAACTAAATAGCTTGCAGTTGTCCCAGTCGTAAATAGTTCGAGTTAATTAATGCATGCACATATTAGGCACCCCGCCCCTTGCGGGACTGCTGGGGTCAGGCAGGGTTTGGGTTACCTTAGGGTGAAGCTGGGGTCAGGCAGGGGTTGGGTTACCTTAGGGTGAAGCTGGGGTCAGGCAGGGGTTGGGTTACCTTAGGGTGAAGCTGGGGTCAGCCAGGGTTTGGGTTACCTTAGGGTGAAGCTGGGGTCAGGCAGGGGTTACCTTAGGGTGAAGCTGGGGTCAGGAAGGGGTTGGGTTACCTTAGGGTGAAGCTGGGGTCAGGCAGGGGTTGGGTTACCTTAGGGTGAAGCTGGGGTCAGGCAGGGGTTGGGTTACCTTAGGGTGAAGCTGGGGTCAGGCAGGGGTTACCTTAGGGTGAAGCTGGGGTCAGGCAGGGGTTGGGTTACCTTAGGGTGAAGCTGGGGTCAGGCAGGGGTTGGGTTACCTTAGGGTGAAGCTGGGGTCAGGCAGGGGTTGGGTTACCTTAGGGTGAAGCTGGGGTCAGGCAGGGGTTGGGTTACCTTAGGGTGAAGCTGGGGTCAGGCAGGGGTTACCTTAGGGTGAAGCTGGGGTCAGGCAGGGGTTGGGTTACCTTAGGGTGAAGCTGGGGTCAGGCAGGGGTTGGGTTACCTTAGGGTGAAGCTGGGGTCAGCCAGGGTTTGGGTTACCTTAGGGTGAAGCTGGGGTCAGGCAGGGGTTGGGTTACCTTAGGGTGAAGCTGGGGTCAGGTAGGGGTTTGGTTACCTTAGGGTGAAGCTGTGTTCAGGCAGGGGTTGGGTTACCTTAGGGTGAAGCTGGGGTCAGGCAGGGGTTGGGTTACCTTAGGGTGAATCTGTGGTCAGGCAGGGGTTGGGTTACCTTAGGGTGAAGCTGGGGTCAGCCAGGATTTGGGTTACCTTAGGGTGAAGCTGGGGCCGGGCAGGGGTTGGGTTACCTTAGGGTGAATCTGTGGTCAGGCAGGGGTTGGGTTACCTTAGGGTGAAGCTGGGGCCGGGCAGGGGTTTGGTTTCCTTAGGGTGAAGCTGGGGTCAGGCAGGGGTTGGGTTACCTTAGGGGGAAGCTGGGGTCAGGTAGGGGTTTGGTTACCTTAGGGTGAAGCTGGGGTCAGGCAGGGGTTGGGTTACCTTAGGGTGAAGCTGGGGCCGGGCAGGGGTTTGGTTACCTTAGGGTGAAGCTGGGGTCAGGCAGGGGTTGGGTTACCTTAGGGTGAAGCTGGGGTCAGCCAGGGTTTGGGTTACCTTAGGGTGAAGCTGGGGTCAGGCAGGGGTTACCTTAGGGTGAAGCTGGGGTCAGGAAGGGGTTGGGTTACCTTAGGGTGAAGCTGGGGTCAGGCAGGGGTTGGGTTACCTTAGGGTGAAGCTGGGGTCAGGCAGGGGTTGGGTTACCTTAGGGTGAAGCTGGGGTCAGGCAGGGGTTACCTTAGGGTGAAGCTGGGGTCAGGCAGGGGTTGGGTTACCTTAGGGTGAAGCTGGGGTCAGGCAGGGGTTGGGTTACCTTAGGGTGAAGCTGGAGTCAGGCAGGGGTTGGGTTACCTTAGGGTGAAGCTGGGGTCAGGCAGGGGTTGGGTTACCTTAGGGTGAAGCTGGGGTCAGGCAGGGGTTACCTTAGGGTGAAGCTGGGGTCAGGCAGGGGTTGGGTTACCTTAGGGTGAAGCTGGGGTCAGGCAGGGGTTGGGTTACCTTAGGGTGAAGCTGGGGTCAGCCAGGGTTTGGGTTACCTTAGGGTGAAGCTGGGGTCAGGCAGGGGTTGGGTTACCTTAGGGTGAAGCTGGGGTCAGGTAGGGGTTTGGTTACCTTAGGGTGAAGCTGTGTTCAGGCAGGGGTTGGGTTACCTTAGGGTGAAGCTGGGGTCAGGCAGGGGTTGGGTTACCTTAGGG